TAACGGACTGTTTGGTACTCGTACCCTATTGATGCAGAATAATGGTTTGTTAAATTGTGAAATTCACTCTAAATATACTTAGAAATAAAAATAAATACATTCCGGACCATTTAAGGAACGTTAATGAACTTTTAACCTACTTTGCCCAAATATCACAAAATAATATTCCAAAACAAGAATTGTTGCATTCCTATAACAACTCCTTGCTTTATGACACCTTCTCAATTAACCTAATCGACGAAGAGTTTGTTTTAAATAGTATCCTCAGTATCAATACGGAGGTTTTTGGCGCTGATAGCCTGAACGTTACCCTAATTTCCTTGTTTTGCCCTTTTATAGTTCCTTATATTATCATATTATAAATAGTTGTATTAAAAGGTCTTATTTTCATAAAAGCTGGAAGCTGGACAATGTTCTTCCATTGGCTAAGGTTAACGATCCGACAGAATTTGGTCAACTACGTTCAATTTCACTTCTACCGACCCTCTCTAAGCTTTTGGAAAAGGCAATCGCTATACAAGTTTCTAACTACGTTTCTGCCAAAAATATCATCCCCCGTAGACAGACAGAGTTTAGAACCGGGTACAGTTGTTCCACAGCACTAACAGATCTTGTGGAAGATGTCATCAGAGAACACGATGCGGGAAATGTCTTGGTGTTATTGGACATCACGAAAGCATTTGACATGATTAATCATGAGATACTAGTGGCTATCCTGAAATATATTGGGTTTGAGCAGCCTGGCTATGCATTAATAAAATCTTGTTTATCTGAAAGATGCGCGTGACTTTGGATGGGAACATATCAGATACAGTTACAATTACATCAGGGGTGCCCCAAGGCAGTATTTTGGGTCCATTATTATATACTTTTAATTTCATGAAGTCGTTAAGTTATGGTTATTATCATCTTTATGCTGACGACACTCAAATTTATGCCTCCTTTAAACCTGGTCTGTCAGAACCTGTATAACGAACCGACTGAATACCGACTTGGATAGCTTTCTCAAAACCGCTAAAGATCACTTGTTAAAGATAAACCCTAGTCAATCGACGCTATATTGTTTTGTAGTGATTCCTACAGAAACGTATTAAAAAATGATATTAGGGTCAAGCGAGGGGACAATATAACATCGTTTAGAGACTCCGTGAAGGATTTGGGCTTACTGGGTGAGTCTAAACTAAAGTTCAGAACCTAAGAAAAGCATATTCAATGTTAAAAATAATTGACCCCCATATACATACCTGCGAAGCTTTACTGTTATCCCACGTCAACTCTGCTGATATGGTATATGGCCCATTTCTTGATAGTGTGGAAATAAAAACAGGTTCAAAAAGCTCAGAATTCTTGCCTGAGACTGATATTTGGCATAAGGGGTAGACAAAGAGTATTCCACAAACTACCTGAACTGGGATGGTTGAATATGGCTCAGAGGCGTACTTTTCACTCTACTTCCTTTTTTTACAAGATTATAAAATGTAAAAGCCCCCCTTATCTTCACTTAAAAATTATTTACCGGACTGGTGTAAATAATCTGAATATTAGAAGATTACAACTGATTACAATACAAGACAATACAATAAAGAATCATTTAAGAAATCATTCTCATATCAAATTGCCTTTTTGGTAAGTATATTAAAAATTAAAATTTTTTCTCTCTCGATAGCTACATTCAAGAGGAACCTTAAAAGTGATTTACTGTCTCAGCTATCATGAAAAACATATCTCCTGCTCCCCCTTTTCTCTTCTCATCTCGCTTTCTCTTTCTCACTCGACATTTCCATTTCTCTACTTACTATACCCCGCTATATTTCTTAATATCAAAACTTTATTAATCATCAATGTCTTACTAGTCATTTGCATTATTATAGAATTGTTTAAATTTGTTTGTTTTTTTTGGCTCTAGCAAGGGGCAAGCTGATGTAGCCCTTTATTCTCTTAAGGCTTTTTGTTTGTAAACTTTTATATACTGTTTAATGAGAGTAATAAATATTATTATTGTTATTATTATATTTTTTTTAGCTGTATTATTATTACAAATACTGTCACATTGGTAGGCAATGGTAGACAAATGGGTCAAAAGTATCCACTAAAACCACACAATTTTGGCGAGGAACAGTGCAATGTAACCATACAGGCTTCTACCATATTCGAATTAGTTGACACAAATATACATATGCCTCAACAGTGGAGCTCACATAAAAGCGTTCGTTCACTCAACCCTGGAATTAACAAAAAAGGAAGAAATGAAATGGAGGAATTAAATTTATTACCTGGTATACCAATGTTGCTAACCACTCTGGGGACCAATTTAAAGGTCCGAGTACAAGACTCTATTCATATACGGAGATGGATTGATCGATAAGAATAATTTTCTGCATTTTCTGTTTTTAAAGCAATCGGATTGTCAGCCCAATCAACCAGAAAAAAAATTTGAAAAAGTCAGGTCTGACTGAAATATCTGCCGAATTATCATTTCGGGATTTTTGATTTCCTTGGACAATTTTATTTATAAATAGTTCTATATAATGGAGCCTAATGCTTTTCAATGACAGGAGTAGCCAGAAAATGGAAAAGTTGCCAAGATGTTTAAATTCACGCTTCAGCGAGTCTCCAGATCGGCCGTTCGACATAGGATCCTGAAATTTTACAAAGCCCCATGCCTCCATAGGCACCCTCTAAGCAAAGAAATTGAGCCCAATGTGAAGTATAACCCATGTGAAGTTCTAGTTTTTAGCCCCTTATGAATGCGGAAAAAATTACTGAACGCAATAAAATCATTTTCAGTCCATCTTTGCAACAACTCGATTCGTTAACGGATATGCAAGTATGATTAAACATTTTTCAAATGAAAGCAAAATTTACCAACAAGCGTATGTACAATTGAATAAAAATTCATAGAAATCAATATTCAGCTGGAATAATGGAATTATAGAGTATATTTCGCTTGGTTGTGCACGAATCGGATAAAACATTAAATGAGAGAGAGAGGGAAAATGCCAAACATATTTGATACAAAGCAAATAGGTTGCAAATCAAACAATGTTTGCTTTTGTTGGCCATTCTATGGGGTATAAATGTTAATTCTTTGTTTTTCGAATATAACATGTCAAATTCAATAACAGTGCCAACCCAACCTTTTAATGTGGTTTTGTATCAGATTTTAAAACAGTAGCATCAGAATCTACACTTTCATAGTGCACGAATAGACCAAAAAATGTCTAAAAGTGATCCAATAATAAACTGGTATTATTTCTCAAAGTGCGAGATAAAACTGTCCCACTGTTAAAATCGATTATTAATGGTCACCTTAGATAACTGTAATTCGATTAAGGTGAGATCCCCTAAAGTTCTGATCCTCATCTACAAGTTCTCATAGGTTATTTATTTATTTATTCGTTTGTTCATACGTTGTTCGCTCGTTCGTTCGTGCGTGCGTTCGTTCGTTCGTCAGTTCGTTCGTTCGTACGTTCGTCCGTCCGTCCGTCCGTCCGTCCATCCGTCCATCCGTCCATCTGTCCATCCGTCCATCCGCCTATCCGTCTATCCGTCTTACCGTCCATCCGTTTCTCCGTCCATACGTCGATCCGTCGATCCATCGATCCGTCCACCCGTCGATCCGTCGATCCGTCCATCCGTCGATCCGTCGATCCGTCGATCCGTCCATCCGTCCATCCGTCCATCCGTCCATCCGTCCATCCGTCCATCCGCCCACCCGCCCATCCGTCCATTCGTCCATCCGTCCATCCGTCCATCCGTCCATCCGTCCATCCGTCCATCCGTCCATCCGTCCATCCGTCCATCCGTCCATCCGTCCATCCGTCCATCCGTCCATCCGTCCATCCGTCCATCCGTCCATCCGTCCATCCGTCCATCCGTCCATCCGTCCATCCGTCCATCCGTCCATCCGTCCATCCGTCTATCCGTCCATCCGTCCATCCATCCATCCGTCCATCCGTCTATCCGTCCATCCGTCCATCCGTCCATCCGTCCATCCGTCCATCCGTCCATCCGACTATCCGTCTATCCGTCTATCCGTCCATCCGTCCATCCGTTTCTCCGTCCGTCCGTCGATCCGTCGATCCGTCCACCCGTCCATCCGTCCATCCGCCCATCCGTGCATCCGTCCAAGTCATCGTCCAACCGTCCATCCGTCCATCCGTCCATCCGTCCATCCGTCCATCCGTCCATCCGTCCATCCGTCCATCCGTCCATCGTCCGTCCATCCGTCCATCCGTCCATCCGTCCATCCGTCCATCCGTCCATCCGTCCATCCGTCCATCCGTCCATCGTCCATCCGTCCATCCGTCCATCGTCCATCCGTCCATCCGTCCATCCGTCCATCCGTCCATCCGTCCATCCGTCCATCCGTCCATCCGTCCATCCGTCATCCGTCCATCCGTCCATCCGTCCATCCGTCCATCCGTCCATCCGTCCATCCGTCCATCCGTCCATCCGTCCATCCGTCCATCCGTCCATCCGTCCATCCGTCCATCCGTCCATCCGTCATCGTCCATCCGTCCATCCGTCCATCCGTCCATCCGTCCATCCGTCCATCCGTCCATCCGTCCATCCGTCCATCCGTCCATCCGTCCATCCGTCCATCCGTCCATCCGTCCATCCGTCCATCCGTCCATCCGTCCATCCGTCCATCCGTCCATCCGTCCATCCGTCCATCCGTCCATCCGTCCATCCGTCCATCCGTCCATCCGTCCATCCGTCCATCCGTCCATCCGTCCATCCGTCCATCCGTCCATCCGTCAATCCGTCCATCCGCCCATCCGCCCATCCGTCCATCCGTTTATCCGTCCGTCCGTCCGTCCGTACATCCATCCATTTATTTATATATTTACTTATTTATTCAGTTATGTTGGCTACACACGATCCGGCAGGCCTGTCAGTTCGAACTGAATAGTCCGCCTGAACACCAGTCGCCTGATGGACTGATCACCCTCCACACGTTCAGGCGAATATGAAATATCAGTCTCAATCATCATATTATGGCCTCTACTGACGACGACGCGTTAGCACTTCTCGGCTTAGTAGTTGCTTTGGGTAAAAAGAAATCCAAAAAAAACGTCCGGTATGGTGTAAAGATTGGTTGAAAAAAATGAGCGTTTTTTCTCATGTGAATTTGCTGAATGACCTGAAGTTAGCTCCCAAGGATTGGCACAATTATCTACTTTGAGGTTTCCAGCTAGGAAGAACCTATGAGGACCTCAAGTTTTCCACTATTATATCACCTCAAGCTCTGAGTTACATTATTCCTGAAACTTGTGAAGCAATATGGGAAGTTCTACGCAAGGATTTTATGAAGGTAAGAAAATATTTTTTGAATATTAAACATACAGATAAACAAAAACATTAAATTTCTTCAATATTAAACATATAAACAAAAACATTATATTTCTTCCATAAAAAATACAAGCACAAGTTCAGTTATCAGTTGTTATCAGCATAAGTGAATGAAGCTAAAAGAGAACCAGCAGTCTGGTACTGATGCCGACGGTTCCCTTTCTTGAACACTTTCTGTCTGGGGAAAAAACATGTTATTCTAGGAGTGGTGTTCAATTGAAGCTTCGGAGTTCTGGAGTAGCAACCGCTGCGATGGTGATGATATTGCGGATGATTGAGAACTTGGGCGGCTAAGATTGAAACTAGATGAATGATTCGAATAATATTCATTTGACGAAGGGGAGTTCAGTAGTAGCAACTGCTGCGGTGGTGCTGGTGTTGCGGAGAGTTGAAAGCTTGGCCGACTAGAATAGGTACTGGATGAATGATAACGATTAGACAAAGGTGGCTGATAAGTCAGTTTATAATGTGGTGTTATTGTTCCACCCTCAGCTTCAAAAGGTATGTCATTAATAAATTTCTCTGCAGGGCATCCCTGATCGTTGGTTAAATCTCTGAGCTTCATAGCAACGTTTTTACCAACAATGTCAAACCGGTCATCCGCTGTGCGTGGCCTTTTGAAGTGGTTATTGACGGTTGCTAGTAGCTAGCTTTTTTTAACTGTGTTTTGGTCATCTGGTTTTTGAGATTTTGGTGTCGGTCTTTGGCGCCACACTTGAAGTTTTTTCAGTAGAATCTTGGGTTTCAGGTTCAGTTTAAGGGCTGTGTGCATCTGTGTTTAAAGTTTCGGCCTGTGATTCATCCTGTAACAAAAGATCTGTTTGAACAGCTTTGTTTGTAAGGAACTCGTATCTATGGTTTTTATCACTGTATTACTTAATCGTATTTCATAAATTCAAAGCATGAAAAAAATTTATTTCTCTTGTCATATATCTCCAGACATTTTTAAAGCATATTTTTATCATGCATAATGCATCATATTATCTTTTTTTTTTTCAGTTTCCACGACTAGAACAAGACTGGAGAACTATTTTTCAGAGCTTTGACGAACTCTGGAACTTTCCTCATTGCCTTGGGGCCATTGACGGCAAGCATGTGCGCATCGTCCCCCCATCTGGAAGCGGATCGTACTATTATAATTATAAAGGTTTTCATAGCATGGTGCTATTAGCCTTTGTTTATGCAAACTATCGTATTTTAAAGTGCGATTTCGGAACAAATGGCAGGGTGTCTGATGGTGGTGTATTACAAAATACCAAATTTTTTGAAAAACTACAAAATAATCTCCTGAAAATTCCTGTAGAAGAAACCATACCGAATACTTACAGACGCCTACCATATGTATTTATAGGAGATGATGCATTTCCATTGAGGGTAGACCTAATGAAACCTTTTCGACAGGCAGCCTTGACTTCTAGGGAGAAAAAAATTTACAACTACCGTTTATCACGAGCAAGACGTATTGTCTAAAATGTATTCGGAATATTGGCTGCCAGATTTCGGATATTTCACACTTGCATTAATTTGGAACCGCGAAATATTGAATTCGTTGTAATGGCTTGCTGCATGTTACACAACTTTTTGATAGCTAAGTCATCAAGGTTAAGTTGAAAAACGTTAATCTTAGCGACACTTCGCCTTTTTTGCTCTTTTACTTAGGTAAGAAATAAAGCCCATTTATTACTATTATTATTATATATACTCCTCCAGAGTGCTTTGACTATGATGATTCGGAAGACGGTGTGACACATTTTGGATTGAATTCACGAGATTCTAATATGTCTAGCTTGCAACAAAGACCACTTGGAAATACAGCGAATGCAGCAAAAGAAGTTAGGGAGGCCTTTATGAGTTATTTTACGAATAAAGGTAAAGTTTCTTGGCAAGATAGATTCATCCAATAAAAACTTACCTACTAATAATACTATTGTATAGGGTGGTCCAAATTGTCGCTCTCTTATGGGAACACCCCTTATGGAAAGAAATCGACTAATTTTAAGAACGTCCCCTGGCAACAAAACGATTACAAATTGCAAAATTTTGTTTGCGCCAATGACTTTTTTTAACCGATTTGGACCACCCTAAAAATACACACATTACATACAAATAGGTACTTACTTAAATTATGAAAAATATGTGTTTATTAAATAAATCAACAAACAAATTATCTACTGAATGTTTCTGTCACTTACCTCATTTTCGCTCTCTTCGTCATCCGAGATATTGCTTCGAGAGTTTCGAGAGACTTCTTGGTCTTCCACAAACTTCAACAAATCATAATACCAAAGTTTGGGATGGTAAACTTCATCTGCCCCTGATCCCGTCCTCATTGAATCTTTCACTGTTTTTGCGTCCTTTCGGAAACTACTCCTCAAATTATTATTTTTTTTTAAAACAGTAGACTTCGTACAAGAATGATCAATTTCCTTCATTTTTTCCATTAATTTTAAATACGCCGCTTCTTTATTGCCACGGTCGTGATAGTCTTTCGATTTAACTTGCCATAGACACAACTCATTGCGATAAATCGCGATAAATTCTTCTAAACACGTGTTTTCTCTTTCTCGCGAAATGGTAACGACTTCTGTATTAAACTGAACTGTTTGGCCTGACAGCCAGATGTCCCAACAGGCGGCCGCGTCATGCACACGTTCAGGCTTGTCGTTGAGTACGTCAGGCCGGACGGATAAATGAACATAATTTTGATTTTTCTCCGGCCGCCTGAACAGTCTTAACTGACAAGTCGACAGGAATATATACACGCTGAGAAGCGACAAAATACAGTAAATACCACATAATCACAAAATGATTTAATAATTTACAGTAAGAACAGAAGAACCACTGCTCTAGCCTTATTGAATCTGTGGCAGCTCTGAATGGACTGCGGCTTTAGATACTCCCTTAATAGTAGAAATGGATGTGTTGAATATATCGAAGTAGTTCCTATAGTCATTATAGCATGAACACATCGAATGTAACGGTGAGTGCAGTAGTAGGTTCGTTCATGGGGTAGGTTGGTAAAAGGTAAGGTTGGCCCTTGATCGTATTTTAGGTGTATAGAAATTTAGCATAGCCATGTTTGGCTGGTAATTTACAATTTTATGTAAAAAAATAGAGATTGCATCTTCCTTCTATCATCAAGACTGAGACATCTATACTATTGAAGTGAGATATACTGTGATATTCTTATGGGAGGATAAACACCATCGGTTTTGAGTGATATGTCACCTATGTCCTAAAAGTTTGGCACAAAATTTATTGGCTTTAATTTTAACAAACGCAAAATAATAAGTTGTCTTTGGAAACAAAAGTTTGCTTACTTACTTTACTGTCAGTTGACATTTATTTATTTTGAAGTTTTCGCTCTAAGGTGTCGTATGCGCGTTTACGCGTATACATCAATTGTCTACGTCTCGATGTATACAATGGGTATACATTGAATACAATGTACAAATTGCGTATACAATGAATACAATGTATACAATGATGAAGACAATGTATAGAATAGCATAAGTGAGGTTAGGTTTATTCTTAAACGTCAGAAAGTTGGTAAACAGTAAACCGACAACTTAAAAAAAAATATGGCTGGACTCTCCAAGAACAAAGAAATTGATGAACTAGGGTTCATTTGTTGTTCACAATTTATTTAAAACTGTATCTTTGTATACACACATACACAAATAATAAAAATGTAGCAGCGTGTTATAGGTTTAAAATATTAACAATGAATATTTTGATAATATATATAGTAGAAAACACCAACTTTATCACTCCCTAATCAAATTTGCAGCATAAAAATAACACATGTTGCAGTTACAGCATATCAACCTATTTTCATTTCAATGCAAAATAAGTCAATAACGCATAGGTGGGTGTGAAAAATAAAAGCTATGACAATTGTTTTTATTAATCGCAGCTGTCAGAATACTTACGTAATAGTTTTAGGTAGTTAAGGTTTTCAAAGTGCGTACAGGAAAGGTTATTTGTGAGAAAATTCGGTTACTGATAATTAAATTTTTTAATTCTGGGAAATCAAACTCAGAAATTGCAACTTTGTTAGACTTATCGCGGTACAGTGTGAGAAATATTGTTAGAAGATCTAACGTAACTGGTTCAGTTAATATTAAGCCACGATATGTGAAAAAAAGGAATATCACAAATGCCGACAGAAGAGCATTAAGAAGAATAATCGTGAAAAACAGGCGTGCCAATTATTTACAATTAAGTGCTCTGTGGAGTGACGCTGTTGGAAGGAGAATTTCAAGGTCCACAACTCATAGAGAGGCCCACAAACTGGGATTTAGCACTTGCAAGGTAAGTTTTCTTATAAAAAAAAGTGAAGTAAAAACTCTAAAGTTGCACAACTTGTTTATAGGCCAAAGAAAAGCCACTATTAGCTCCACTGCAAAAGAAAAATCGGCTTAGATGGGCGAAAGAACATAGACAATGGACACCTCCATAATGATGTGCAATACAATGGAGTGATGAGGCCCGATTCGAAGTTTGTGTTGGGGACAGTCGCAGTAGAGTTATTCGCAAAAAAATTAAGCATTCCATGTTGACTGTCGGAAGAGAAAAGTGAAATTTCCAGCATTCATTATGGTCTGGGGCAGTATGTCATCAAAGTAGTAGGAAAACTTCATTTTGTTGATTGAAATGTGGATACAAACAAATATTTGGCAATTTTAGAAGAACCGCTTTTACCAGTGATGGAAGAATGTTTGACAGCTGGCCAAGATTTTGTGTTTCAGCAAGATGGTGAAGCGTGCCAAACCTCAAAAAAGGCTATAAAATGTATGGAAGAAAATAATCTACCACTTTCGAAATGGGTTTCTAGCAGTCCAGATCTCTCACCTATTAAAACTTTGTGGCACGAGATGAAAAAGGTTCTACGACAACATCCTGCTCGTACAATCACCGAACTGAGACAAAAGCTTCAAGAAATATGGGATTATTTTACACCAAATTTTTGCCAAAACTTGGTTAACACTATGCCCTAAAGAATTTCAGCCGTAATAAAAAATAAAGGTGATGTTACCCAATGGTAATCTTTCAGTTGTTATTTTGTTAACTTCGCGCATTTAATCGCACATTGTTTTTTTTCTAAAGGTTTTATTAGTTATAGGTCTACGTGATTTCAAATACGTATTTTTTACGACTAGAGTATATCTAAAATGTTTTTGAGAAAATACATTTTTTTAGAAGTAAATCGTTTCGTCATGTTTAGTTTATAAAGGCATATTTTGGTACAAATCTTGAAGTGGGCCAACTGAAGTGGGAAGGGCCTCGTAGGATCGATCTGGAATTGATCCCAAACAGATTGAACAGAAATGTCTATTTGAGCGTAGAAAACAAGCCGTTACAGCAAGTTACAGTTGTGTTCTGTGGCCTTCATCACTGTTGTGCCAGACAACGTGGTGTGTGGCGCACTTTTTCTACACAAGTGGTGCCCGCTTGTTCTCCTCTCTCTCTTCCTAGTACCTATGGAAATCTAAAAGGTAAAGGGACTTTCGGCAGCACTATATGCAAGTAGTTGAACTATGATTTGCTATTGTATACATTATATACATTTTATACATTGTATACGAGAATATCGAGGCGTATATATTCACCATTGTATACGCGTATACAATCACTGGTCGTATGAATTAGAAATAAGAAAATATATCTACAAGTTGGTTGGGCGAGTACCCAAAGCTGAAATTTGTCGAATATTCCAGAATTAAAGCATTTCACGCAAAACCATTTATCGAACAATAGCGGAGTGTGAGCAGGGGATACCACGTCTGAATCTCCCAAGAAGTATACGACCACGCGCATATACTGCACAGAGATCAGACAGATTGGTGAGAAGAGAAAAAATCAGGTGGAATGTCAACAAGGAGAGTGGCTCGTCAATACAGATCTTCCAAGTTGACGATATCGTTGGAATTGAGGAGGAATGGTCTTAAATATAGAAAGAGACCAAGATGCTGTCGTCAACTGATGCGGGTACACTTTGCCGGTGAATAAATCATTATTTCAGATGACGCAAGGTTTCACTTTGAATAATTCCGAAATAAAGGCAAACGACGGATTGTATACGGACAACGTAGAGGAAGCCCAGTCAATGTTAGATACAAACATAACGCGAAATTTGCAGATAAAATCCTTGTCTGGTGCGCAATTTCTAGCAGGGGTATATCCAAACCCTTTGTGGGAAGAGTGGGGGGTAGCTTTTAATAGCCAGAGCTATGTTGATAACTGCCTTTCCAAATTGCTTCAGTTTGTCCACGAACATCGTGCTAATGACCATATCATGTTTTGGCCAGACGTAGCATCATGTCATTTCTCAAGAGAGAGTCTGGATTCGACAACACGACACACCTTTTGTTCCCAAATGTGATAATCCTCCAAACTTGCCGCAGGTTCTCCAATTAGAGAATTTTTGAGCCTTACTGTCTAGGAATGTATATGATGCCGGCTGGGAAGCCTAAGATGAAGAACAATTACGAAAAACTGAGAGAAAGTGATCTGAATTTCGTCCAGAACCCCATAAGAGACATTCGAAGAAAGTTGCGTCTAGTAGAGCAGAATGGGCCACTCCACTTAATTCGATAGCATAGTTTAGATAAGTGTTAAGTTGCAATTAGTGATAACATATTAGTTTTTGAATAAATTTCTTCATTAAAAAGAAATCTGATAAATATCTTGTGCCAAAACTTAGGACATACGTTACTTCAAGAGGTCCTTCTGAATTTTTTCCAATAACTCACATGATGTAAGGTAGCATGGATTTCTCCAGATTATTCTTGCATTATCCAGCTTAGAAAGAACAAACGAATTGTGCCTTATTGGTAGTATTTAGTAAGTTAAACAGGTGAGGATTAATGCTCAATGTCCTGTCAAATATTACCCTTAGGCCATTGAACTCCCTACCGTCTGCAGAGGGGCGTAGTTAATTTTGTAAATATTTGTGATGGCATTTACCTACTTGGTAGAAGTTGAGGATTTATATTTACTCACGTTGATGGGAAACTGATTAGAATCACAACATTCAGTTAGTCTGTCAAGTTTTTTCTGTAGGTAAGAGCAACTAAATAGGTCATCAATTTTCCAGTAAAGCTTATGTCCTGGGCGTAAAGCAGAATATTAGAGTGGATCAAATCTACAACATCATTAACAAACAAAAAAAATTAATATTAGAGGACATAAAGAAGATCGTTGAGGACAGCAAAGGATGGAAAAAAATTAATTGATTTCCCACCGTTAAAATCCACATATAGTTTAGGCGACCGAACAGATAATACTGAAATAGTGAAACCAAATTTTGTGATAAGCAAATACTATTTAATAAACCATGGTTGACTCTGTCAAACGCTTTGACGCTTTGCTAAAATTAGTATACAATACATCAACCGGACCATTAGAATCTAAAACGCCTAATATGTCAATTTAAAGTAAGTATTTGCGATATGCGCTAAAATATATATTTGAATATGTAAAATGCCAAACAAAATCAAGATTACACTAAGAATTTCAGTCAGCAACAATCAATATACCAATATCTATAAAATACCCAATAAAAATGATATGTTTTACCTGTTTACATCAGGGTTTTTTTGTTAAAGGGAAGTGATGGCTTCCAACAAAATCAGCTGCGAAACAGCAAAAGGCAACTACAAAACAAAGCTGGAGGAGTGTAAGTGGTGACTCTCCGCAATGGCTTTCCACTAAAAGGAAGCAGATATTGAACCAGTTTCTCCAGGACAAGCATTAATGGA